CCCCAAAACCCCTAAACCCCAAAACCCCGCACTTGACAATCTGTTATAATTTAGAACTGAATAAATTAAAATAAATTATCTTTCTTAGATATCTCATTATATAATAAGCCCATGCAAGAAGCTTAAAATTAAATTCAAAGAGTCTATTATAACAAAATTATGGTCGAGTTCAAATTGGATATAAAAATTTTAGTTATTCATTAATCTTAAAATTCAATTTGAACTTTGTCATTTTTGTAATCAAATTCATTATCACTCTCATTTTGCTCATTATCCAAAGGGTTTATCAGCTAATTCTTTGTGAGAGAACGACCTAATTCATTAGATATACTCTAGCTATCTGTGGATTCTTTCAACTAATTTTAAACTCCCTTTTTCTATTTATTTTTCTTGCTTCTAGGTTTGCTTTACTCACTTGCTTCACTATCAATTTACTATTTGCTGTTGTTGAACTTTTCTTCAGAAATTTGCTACTTTTAACTCGTTCCTGGACGAGACATAGTGTTATAGTTGCTCTGATTTTGCACTTACTAGGAATAGAAATTCATCCCACTTTTATCGTGAACATAGTTTTCAAGATTTTACTAAACCTGCTACTAATATGCTTAGTTAGGCACTTACTACATCTGCATCTGATTCATAAACTGATTCTGGAATTAAGGATCCATCATCATTGGGTTCTATATGCTGCCAAACATTTACTATTAAAGCATCTATTGCATGAGCTATTGCTACTGGAGAAACATATTAGAGGGATTATTCATGTTTTCACTGTTTATTGGTATCTAATTGAATAATTAATGCTGAATAGCTATATTGTTAGGATCTAACATTCTTTGAATAGGTGGTAATTAGTTTTAAGGTTGCTTTTGGAAAATTTAAGAGTTGCTTAATAATTTTTAGGTGCTCTGAGTATCCGGATCATGTGAGCTTTCAGCTGGCCCTTTTGAATTGGAATTATGATGCAATTTTTGTTTAGCGCTGTCTAGTAATTCTTGCATTTATGGTTGGCTCTCCAATTCGTCTTCCTATGTTTTGCGAATCATTGGCTGAACTTTAGTGGATCTTCTTTTTTTAGAATCTTTCTCATCTGCCATTATGATGCCTGATATGTCTTAACTGTGATCTTAATCATTATTGAACTTTTAAATGTCCCCAGCCTTCTTCTAGAATACAGATTTGGAGGTAAGGTTATCTTTTGCAATTTCATATTGATTTTACTTCTACTTCTTAAGGTAAAAGATAAGCAATATCATGATTGTAATTAAAAACACACCACAACACCCTGCTAACCCTATTATTATGTAAGTTTTGCTTTCATCATTAATTAAACTATCAGAGGATGATTCTGAATTTAATTTATTATCTCCAGTATTAGAAGTTCCACCATTGGTTTAATTGTTATTTTAGCTATTATTTTACGTACTGTTATTACTTGTAGTATTATTATTAGTGGTATTATTGTTGGTATTATTTGAATTGCTTGAGTTATTAGTGGTGTTTGTGCCACCACTGCTTGTGTTATTTGTAGTATTAGTAGTGGGAGTTACTGGCTTGACCCAAGGTCTCAAAGCCCAAATGTTAAAATTATAGTCTATTGTACCTGTTGACTTTGATATTAGTGTAACATATACCTATTGAGGGTAGTAAATTGTAAATGAGGCTGCTGACGTGCTTACTTTGATTGCTGTTGAAACATTGATATTATTCGAAGAATATTAGTCAGAATCAGTAATAGTGTAGAATCCATCAGTGTTTCCAGCTTTATTAAATCTGAAACCAATAAAGTCTCCAGTTTTTGAATCAGCTGGAAATTTGATAAGATAATTGCAAGTATTACCAGGACCCATTGAGGTTGAAGCTGGAGTCAAAGTTAAATAAGTGCCATTAATTACTGGCAATATTGTCAAAGATCCACTAATTTTCCCGCATGATTGATGATTTGGACAGGCCCAATATTTGAAGAACGGGTAATTTTCATTTATACTGTTACTACAAACATCTGGTCCACTACAAGTCTCACTTTATAAGCAACACTTTCCAGATGATCTATTAGCGTAAGAGCAAAAGTTATAACCAGAATCCAGGCAATCAGTTTTACAAATCACATAATTTACAAGCAAATTTCTTTCAATTTTTAAAAATTTTCCAGATTCGTAATTGTCTTAGTTAATATTCACTAATTCTCTCTCAATGTTAAAACTCCTAGTGCTTTTTACCAATGAAATTGCAGCAGCAAATGTAAATAAAGCAACTAGCTGATTAATATTGAACTAATTTCGTAGTAAGAATGACATTAAAAATAAGAAATTTATATTATTCTATTCTCATTCTTAATTATGGAAATCCGATTATGCTGGGCTATTTTAGCAATGTGGGGTTTTGGGGTTTTGGGGAGATTTGTACAGGTGGCATTA